TGCATCCTGTCGGGAGGGAGACCAGCCCTGGACGGTACTGGGCTTGGGCTTGAGGGGGGCTTCGAGTTGGCCGCCTGTGTTCTGCCCAGGACCCTTGACCGCTGTGACGGGGACAAGCAGCCTCGAGGGTGGCAGGAGCTGCGGCTGTGCCTCTGATGCATTTGGCGGAGCTTCCACGAGGGCCTCGAAGGGTTGCTTCCCCAAAGGCTCCCGAGGACCCTGCACGGCCGCCGTGCGTGCACCAGCAGCTGGTGGAGAGGCCAGCTGTGATGCTGGCCCAGGTGCCTCATTTCTGGAGACGGGTGTGCCTGCCAGCTTCTCTGACTCAGGGGCTCGCCCTCTGGACTTGAGGTCAGTGGGAGCCAGGAGTTCGTCTCTGAATCAGACAGGTGCTTGTGTGGTGCTGACTCCAGGAGGCACTGGGGAGCCCTTCCTGGGGCCCCGGGCCTTTGACCTGAGTTTGACTCAGGTATTGGAGATGTCAGGGCCTGATGGGCTTCCCGATGTTGGGGTCTGGCTTCCTTTTGGGGAGCTTGCAGGGTCCCCTAACCCACACTGCTGGGGTGGCACCTGTGCGGGTGGCACCGGAGTCAGCAGCAGCCATTTGACCTGCAGCTCTGTGTCTGAGGCAGAGGCCTTCAGAACTGGTCTGGACGTTCCCTGAGAAGATGAGTGTCTTTGCCATTGGGATTTTCCAGCCCCGTAGACTGCACCACCATGGTCCTCTGTTGGAGTCTGTGGGTTGACACTGGGCCCCCCTCAGCCCTAGCCCCTGGCCCTGGGCTCTTTGCTGACCTGCCAGCCTCCAGCCCTGTCCCTCTGTGTGTCCTGAAGTAATTTTTCCCAAATGCAAACCTTGCTCATTGCTAGGTGTTGCTCCTTTGCCTATGCAGTGAAATCTGGATCCCTTGGGTGAAGACTGGGACCTACTCCAGTCTCACCTGCCTCCGCTCTGCCAGCCTTGCACCTGTCCTCACCGTTCCCCTTCCTGAAGCCCCAGCCCTCGCCTTCTCTCCACCCAGCAGTGTCTGGTGTGAGCATCTCCTGCATGAAAAGACTTTCCGGTGTGCAAGTTCCTGTCTGCATGGCTCTGCAGCATGATTCTGTCCTGGGTCTCCTCTGCCTCTCCTAGCTGGAAGTCCCACCCAACCGGCCTTTCCAGCCCAGCGTTTTGCAGACTGCTGGGTACACAGTAGGTGCATACTTTGTGTCTGGAGGCCCCCTGGACAGGGCTGCTGGGCACCAAGAGCTGGAGCCACTTGACACCCATCCTAGGGCCTGATGACGACCCCCCCACCTTGGTTACAGCTGTCGCCCAGGCAGTTCCTGCAACCTTCCCAGCACCCGTTGGGTGGTGAATTGGCCACGAGCCGTGCAGGGGCTCCCAGGACTGGACGCCGGAGGGGCTGCTGCTGAAACAGCTGTGCGAGGCCCCCGTGGCTGAGGCCTGGTCCCTATGCAGGAGGAGAGAAATTCTCCCAGAAGGACCGCATGGCCAACAGGAAGAGAGGAGACCCCTAGGTGCCTTTCTGCAAGGCAGGTTTACTCCTAGGTGTTTCCACATCCTAGGGTGACCGCACAGGGAGCTGAGTTTTGGAATCTGAGGTGTTACACTTGTTATCCAAGTGCTACGTGCTTCTTGGTTGAGAGCCCAGGGAGGCAGAGGGCTCCCCATTTTCCTTATGCGCTGCCCCCTTAACCTCGTGAGTGAGGACAGGGGTGCAAGACAGGAGCCAGAGGGTCCCCAGGCCGCAGTGCTTTGTCCATAGAGGGCGTGGGTGCTGGGACTTGTGCGTCGGTCATGGGAGCCAAGGGCAGAGTTGCTTCAGCCGCTAGGGGCGCTGTCCGCTCCGGGGGACGGGTTGGCTAGGGTCTGGGATGCTCATGGCGCTGTTGTGCAGCGGCCTGCCCTATGCCCGGCATCATCCACGCACGTTGCCGTCTAATCTTCGCAGTGAGACTGTAGGGGAGGAAGGATTGTTACCCCCATTTCACAGAGGAGGGAGCAGTGGCAGAAAGAGGCAAAGCCACGTGTGCAAGGACGCACAGGTGGGAAGGAGCTGAGCTGGAACTCGAGGCTGGGCCACCGGCTCCAGGGGCCTTGTTCTGAGCCTGGATTGCTCCAGAGCAGTGAGACACTGGCCCTGCTTGGCCGCTCCGCTCTCCTGCCGACCTATTCCTCCCCAGGCCTCCAGGGCCTCCGCGTTCCTGGAATTTCAGACTTCAAGGTGGGCCAAGCCTTGGCCGCAGGAGCAGCCCCTCGGTGAGCCCCTCTCCCTGGAGTTCCCCGCTGCATGGTCTTTATGAGGCCTGTGGCTTCACAGACTAGATGAAGAGTCTTTGACAAGTTTGTTTTAGGGCCTTAGGATTTCACAGCACCGAGATTATTCCTGGTCTCTGAGCATCGGTGGACTGGCGTGATGTGCCGATGCATCATTTGGGGAAGGGGTCCCGTGCCCGCCTGCTAGTCTCCTGCTCCCCGGCAGGTTGAGCTTAGTGCTGCAGGTTTGGCGAGAGGCCGTTGAAAACTGGAAGTCAATGCACTCACATGAAGTCTAAGGTTCTGGTTCCTATTTCCCAGGACTTTTCTTCTTTCTTTCGGTTTTACTTCCCCTGATCTGGAGAGATTAGAGATGGCACTGTTCTTACCTAAAAGACTTAATGAAAAAATGTAAAGTTACATCTCTAGGAATAATTTTAAAGTCTCTGTATGAGGCTGGAGAAAGCTGGACAATTCTGGGGGGGGGGGTGGGCAGAAGGAGTTAAATTTTGCTATTACGTACTTTTGAAATGTTTCACTTGTTAACAGATTTTTATTACTTTGTTCCCTGAATACAGTTTAATACAATTTCATGAGAAAGTTGGAATACAGATGTGTTAGGATAATGCTCTTACAGGTTCCTCTCAGCAACGTTCTGTGGACAGGGCATTGCGGCGTCCATCTCCCCTGGCCCTCCAGGAGGGAATGCACATTTGTCGAGACCACTGGGGTGATGGCTGTGAAGGAAGTGACACTGGTCATCGAGATGTCACGTGTCCCCTTCTCCCAGACTATCCCCAGATGGTGCAGCAGGGGCCTGGGAGGATGGTCTCCAGGGAGAGTGTTCAAGAGAGGCCTGAGCCCTGGTCACTGGGGCCTCTGCAGGGACAGAGGCTGCCAGGGCTTCAGCAGGGAGTGCTTCGGGCGTCCCTGGGGTTGGAAAGGAGTAGCCAGGCTGTCCTGTAGAAATGCAGCGTGAGCCACATTAAACAAGGCAGATGAGAGACACGTGAAATTCATTTTAATGGTATTTTTTTATTTAACCCAGTTGACCCCAAATGCCATCATTTCAGCATGCAATTAACAAAAGAAGTTATTACAGATATTTTACATTCTTTTTTTTTTCATACCAAGTCCTGAGAATCTAGTGTGTCCTCCACTGGGAGCCACCTCACTTCCCACCAGCCACATGGCAGGTGCCCGGCAGCCACACGTGGCTGGTGGCTGAACACTGGCAGCGCAGGGTGAGACCTCTCCAAGTCCAGAAAGTAGAAGGGCTGAGTGGCGGTCGGCTGAGAGGCCGTCCTGCCCAGTCTGACTCCAGCTGACCTCCCACTTCTGGAAAACCCTGGCAGGAATGTCCATCTGCAGCCCCAGGGGGAGGAGCAGGGAGCCCAGAGACCAAAATGCTAACCGTGGGGTTTTCGTCTGCTCGCGAACCGGAGAGTGGTTTTTCTTCTCCTTCGGCTTGGCTTCACTCAGAGTTCTCTCTAGTGCACGTACGTTTGCCATTAGAATTATTTTGCATTATATACGCATTTCAGTGAAAGAATAAAAGCTGGAAAGGGGGCATCCCCTCACCTCCCCATTTTTGTGACGCCCTTGAGCTCTTAGATTTCTAATGTTAACGTGGCTATTTTTAATCTCCGAGCTTCATGGGGTAAGAGATTCTAAAAAAGAAGGTGCTCGTAGCAACCAGCTCGCCCACGTCGCACGTTCCCCTTATTTGGGTATCATGCTAAGTGCTTTGACTTGTGATGAAAATATTGTGACGAGTGAGTGAAAATATTGTGACAAGCCAGAGAATTTCGGGTTGCCATGGAAACCATCCCCCTTGGGCATCCTCCGTGGGGTGGGCTTGGCTGCAGGTACCGCTGCAGGCAGCCTCTTGCCTTTGTTTCGGCTTGTCTGGGGCCCTGTTGCTCAGCGGTGTGCAGATTTGGGCCTCAGCACGAGGAACTGCCCAGGCATCTCAGGCGGGGCTCCTGCCAGGCAGAGCGTCTCCGTTCTCCCCTCTGGCCTTCTGGGCTGCATGAGAGCCTGCAAGAGTGCGAAGCTTTTGCGAGGGCATCAGGAGGATTCCAGAAGGGGCCGCTGGCTGGTGGCACGTGGCTCTGTGTCCTGCAGCAGCTCACTGGCCAATGGCCTGGCGAGTGGGCAGAACTAGTCCAGACGAGCCCAGCCTTCCCCTGTCCTGAAACCTGCCTTAAGCTTTCTCCAGGGAGAGCTGGAAATAGAGGATCTGGACCAGGACGTGGGGGAGGCAGCCTCCTTCCCCTGGGACCTCGAGGGTGCAGCTGTGGGGATGACTGACATCAGTGCAGCCCCTCAGGGCCGTGGGGCTCACTCACGGCAGGGGTGTGAACCTCCCTGGGCCATGCAGGGTGAGAACCGGACCAGGCAGTTTGCTGGGAAATGAAGGAAGGAAAAAACCACCTTTGGGAAAGTACGCCTTGCTTGATTCTGCTTATTTTGATGGTAAAATGAAAGTGGGGGGACATTTCCAGCCCAGGAAAATAGCCTCTTTACTTGGGGACCTTCCCCTGCTGTCTTTGGGCAGGAGCAGGATGGTGCAGGACCTGGCGATGAGGCCATTCGAGATTCTGGGCTGGGCCCTCAGCCCACAGACCCGCGGCAGCCGGACACAGGCCTTGGCTGTGACCGGCCCCTGCTCCCTCAGGGTGTGAGGGGCTTGGTTGCTGGTCTGAGTGTGAGGCCCTCCCCTTCTCTCGCCATGCAGGGCCCCCAGACGCCAACAGCCCTCCCTGCCTCCCCTACAAGACACTGGTCTCCACAGTGGGAAGCATGGTGTTCAGCGAGGGCGAGGCCCAGCAGCTCATCGAGATCCTGTCCGAGAAAGCTGGTGTCATTCAGGACACGTGGCACAAGGTGGGCCCCTTCCTCCTGGCCACATTTGGTGGCCACTGTGGCTGGTGAGCAGCTGGCCGGGTGGTTTCGCCCCCGATGCCTGGCCTGGGGCCAGTGATTGCAGTGGTTACCTGGTTCTGGGGCACCAGCCTCCCCTAGGTGATGCCTGGCGGGCTGGCCACAGCCGCTTGCCCAGCTGTGCGGTGTTCATGGTGAGTCCACTTACCTCTCGGCAGAACCCTGCTGCCCCTCCCAGGACGGGCCGTGTGAGTCACCCTGCAGGTGCTTTGGCTTCAGCCACAGCCCACCTGCTGAAACAGGAGGGCGGCTAAGAGCCAGGGTGGGGCTCTGAGTTCCAGGGGGACTGGGTGGTCACAGCAGCTGGGCCCCGCCCGTTGGTGGCCAGGGCCCCGGGTGAGGCGGGGAGAAGTAGGGTGTGCTATATGCCTCTCTGCGGCCCATCTCCTGCTGGGGGCCTGCGCCCACCTGCTGGCACTCGTGGCAGTGAGCTGCCCCAGGAGGGCTGTGTGGCTTGTTTGTTCCTTAAACAGAGCTGGAATTGTAGATCATTTTACTGGAGGATTTTGTGGCACCTTAGTGGTAGGAGATGTTGGGGGTGTCCTGAGAGCCAGGTGGATGATCCCTGCCCTAAGGCCACTGGGGTCACTCTCCACCCCACGACCGGCCCTCAGTGAGGGGTGATGAGTCCTGTAGTGGCAGGGAGCTCCTCACTCCATGAGTGTCAGGCCATCTCCTGGGCATGAGGTCACGGTAACCACTCCTCTCCAACAAGAGAGGCCTGGACTCAGCTCAAGCCTCTGTCCCCACAATATCCCCCCGGCCATGGCCTCAGGCTTAGGCCGGCAACCTGCAGTCCACGCACAGCAACTAAAGGATGGGCACCGAGCCAGAAATGATGGCCAACTGCCCCATAGCAGACCATGAAGAGGCCCTGGCCACCATCAACCACGCTCCTAAAAACTACCCAGAGGTCTGAGCCTTGGGCCCCAGCAGCTCCTACGGCCCCGGCCCTCGGCCTGGCAAGCTGGGTGGCCGGCGGGTGCCTCCCCCAGGGGTGTCTGCCATCAGGACAGAACCGCTGCCCTGGGTGTGGGTCAGGGTCTGAGAGCGGGCTTGGGGCTCCAACCAAGCATCCGCCCCCTCCTCCCATTTACATGTCTCTCTGGGCATTTCCAGGCCACTCAGAAGGGCGACCCCGTGGCAATTCTGAAACGCCAGCTGGAGGAGAAGGAGAAGCTGCTGGCCACGGAGCAGGAGGATGCGGCTGTTGCCAAGAGCAAACTGAGGGAGCTCAACAAGGTAGGGCCAGCGTTGTCGGCCTGGGGGTCGGCCTCCCCTCGGCTCTCCCTGGGCCCGTGAGCCTGGGGCCGCGTGGAGACCCGGGAGCCTGGGCTGCAGCGCCTGTCCCCGGACGTGAGGACACGTGGCCGGGAGCGCTCAGCCGACCCCGCAGTGGTGGCTGTCTTTTTAGGGGGATGCCCTGCGAGGAGGGTGGGCACAGTGGATCTCAGGTTCTTTTCTTGAGAGCTGGAGCCGAAACCAGTGGGGAGAGGGCAACAGGCTGCTTTTCTCCCTTCTCTGATGTCTGGAGGGAGCCTGTGATGGCTCCGCATGTGACACTTGTTCCCCGTGGGTACCGGTCACGATGGGTCCCTGCTGCTGCAGCGGGCTGCGAGCATCGTTCGGGAGGAGTCAGGGCACGGGCACAAGGCTCCTCTCCCTGCCAGGACCCTCACCTCTCCTTCTGTGGAGTAAGATGTGCTGCCCCATGGGGCTGGTCACGCCCAGCTCGAAAGCTGTGTTTTCCCAGCAAAATGCTGTGGGCTGCCTGCTCTCTTCCTGCCTGCCCGTCTGCTCCACCGGGGCGGTGGGCGCAGGGAGGCGGCCTGGGCATCTGAACGTCCTGTGCCACCTGGGCTGTATCCCTTCCTCTGGGCACCTGCATCTGCTTGTTCTTGAGGAAGCAGAAATGAGGCAGCCTGAGTTTCTGTCCTAAATTGGAGGCACGCAGCTCCGAGCCAGATGGCAAATTTCGTTTGGTGGGGGACGGATGGATGGCAGGAGCAGAAGACGAGGCTTTGCCATGGTCAGCCCTGGCGATGCTGCGCCCAGGAGGACGGGAAGAGGCAGGTGTCCAGGGCCGCCTCTGGTGGTCGCCTCCTGCCTGATGGGCTTTGCTCTCAAGACTGTCCGCACGCAGCCTTCCCGTGAGCCTGTGTTGGGTTGCTGGTTAAATGTCGGGTGGCAGGAAACACTCACCCAGCTACCAAGAGCCAACTGCGCATCCCTTCCAGGCCCAGCTGGTGATGTGCCACTGGCCAGGAGTGTCTGCATCACGGAAATGGGCCAGCGCTGCATGTCAGAGCCTCCCACCCGCTAAGGCCAACGGCTGGCAGCCACCCTGAAGTCTGTGGTTTCAGGGGCCGTTCTTCTGTATCCTCTTTCTGGACAAACTGAGAAAATGTGTTGATGCCCAAAATAAAATTGAAGTGGGAGCACAGGGGGGTGACTGTTCCCACGGCTAGTGGCCGTGTGGCTCCCTGGCTAGTTCCTGTGCTGGCCCTGAATTTAGGATGGGCTGGAGGTGCAGCCTCTGATGGTGATGGTGACGGTGACCATTGCTAGGGTCGCGGGCCACCGCGGGCAGGGCAGCAGGTGCGGGGTTGGGGGGCTGCACCCTATGAAGAAGGCCCCTTCGGTGCTGCCCTTTGTGCTGGACCCTGACTGCTCCCCCACAGGGCTGGCCGCTTGACGAGATTTCTAAACCACAGCACAGCTAAGCCGCAGACAGTCTCCCGGGCGAGATGCATTTCCAGCTCGGCCCTGGCAGACTGTCTCCCTGCTGGGAGCTGCAGGGGCCTGAGAGACACGCAAGGGTGCGGCCCTTGGTTTTCGTAACCCCTCGTGCTCCCTGGGCTCCAGGCCTTGGCTCTGAGGCCGGAAATCCGGTAGTGCATCCGTCCTGGGCCTGGCCTCCCCGCGGGGCCCGAGGACGTCCTGTTGGGCTCTCAAGCACTAATCCGGTCCTGGGAGGGCCCTCTCTCAAAGCTGCTGGCTCCTAGTCTTCACACCCAAGTCTGCATCCCCAACAGCACCTGCCTCCCCCTGTCTGCTCCACACCCCTTGCTGCCTCCTCGGGCCTCTCCTGCTCTTTCAGTGGCCTCGCGGCTGACTAGAAGTCTCCTTATCCCTGGAGACTCAGTTTGATTCCCCTCCACCAGGAAGCCTTCCATGGCCCCCATCTTCCTGTCCCAGCACAGAGGTCACCCTTGTGCCTTATCATCTGCGTCCCCTGAGAGTCTAGCCAGCTCACTTGGCTCATCCCAGCAGGTGCCTGTCAGCCAGTGGCCACAGGCCTGCAGCCGGCGCACAGCTAAGGGGGAGCCTTTGCTGGTTCAGGCCTTGCCGTCTGGCCTTCCTGTGCTCCTGGGTCCACGGACGTTAGGTCCCTGCATTTCTCTGTTGCGAGTTCCGAGCAGAGCCGATGGTTGGCTTCATCCTTGGTCACGTCCCCTAGCGCAGCACTGTTGGGGAAAGTTAATGAGAAACTAAGTTACTGGGAATACGGAGGTTCCTCTAACTTATCCCCTGCTGGAGCTGGCGGGTGGACAGGACCTGCGTTTCACGTTGAGCTCCCTCCACGTCTTCTTTGTCCTTGTGGAGAAGTTTTCGTAGTTGCAAAAGAGGATGTTGGTGAATTCTTTTCCTTGTGGTCTGTGGCCAAAGGCATGCTCTAAACACAGACCATACGGACCGCCTACCAGATCTGTGCCTCGCAAGTGGGTGAAGTCAGCAGAGTTGGGTCCAAGTACAGTGCCAGGCACCAGTTCATGGGCTCAGGCATCCTGAGACCTCTGTCCTGGCTTCTGAGCATCTCCAGGGCCCTGTGTGAGGTTTTGAGGAACCACGTGGCTCCAGAGCAACTCTTTTGGAAAACCATCTTTCCAGCTGTCGTCTGCTTAGGCACCAGGGGCCTCTGTCCTGGGACGATGCCCTGGACTGGACCGCATCCTGTACTCTGTTGGGCCTGAGAGCCCATCCCTGGTGGCCAAGGAGGTGCTCGGAGTGGGTGTGCTGCAGGGGTGGGGTGGGAGGTGTTCCTGCTGGGAGACCTTTTTGGTGGGAGCTGCCTTCTGTCTGCGTCTTAGCTGTCCTTGGAAGATACACCATGTGGGGCCCACTTGGCCTGGGGAGCGGAGCGCACTTCAGAGCCAGCAATGCTCAGCAGTGCCAAGCCTCCCCTCCCAGCCCAGTCAAAGGAAATGGGGCTCCGGGAAGTCAGCCATCATCACCTCATGTGCCTTTCAGGAAAATACACCCGACCCTTGCGACTGACTTAAGAATTTGACAGGCTGTAGAAGTCCTGGGAGTCTGAGCTTTTAGAAGAGAGAAG